ATTTGAACTTATTAAGTTATTGATTCAAATTTAATCCTAACATCAACTTGACGTTTACATTGTTTAAATATAATTAGCTCAAAGAAAGTTTAGTAAATTACATAATGAAAAGTTTATTGAAGATACCTCTTTTTCCCTCATGTTTTCATATAAAGCTGGCTATTCTGTCAATGTATTATAGTATCAAAACTCTAAATGCAAAGAGAACCTCAGTTAAAAAATCTGTAAATTATGTATTTTTGCTTACTAGCTACTATCCAGTCTTGTTATATTGACAAATCCCAAATTTCAGCTCAATTACCCATTTCTGTTCCAAATCAAAACATTTCTGAAAGCTGGTTTAAAATTAAATTTAGAAATAGATAAAAATAATTCTTTTTTTATTTTTATAACCATTCCTTTTATGATATTTTTTTTTTCACACTGAATCCTTGAGAGTTTTATTTTTCCTTTAAGATTTGTGAAGAATTGGGAATGGGTGGGGCATTTTTTGTCAAAATCTTTTCCATGCTTTCATTGTTAGCACTGTGATGACATGAAGCAAACCAAGATCTCCATATTAGTGAACTAAAACCACAATTTAGAGATAGAAATTATTTTTTGTTAATATGAGAAAACTAATTTTTTTTTCTCTTAGGTCAGTGCACAGAAACAACAAAATCAGAAGGAATTCATTGCCTAAACTGAAACATGCCCATTGTTGGGTCTACTTTGTGTTCTATTTGGCCTTTCTAAACAACAGAGACATTATTTTAAAAGTCATATCCCGGATGAGAAATATACTAAAGACAGAAATATCCAAGAGGGCTCAGACTCAGATATGTGCATGAGCAAGACGTGAAAATATGTTATCTATAAAAGCATAAAAGAACTTCACTTGACTTGCATGACTTTTTGTATCAAGCATGCTACAGCAGTCTTTTTGATTCTAATACAAAACTATAGTAAGGATCATTGCACTAATGCATGAGGATTTGTGATAATGTTGCAGAAATTTTACTGTCAAAACTGAACTGAAGTGTAATGACTTTTGTTATCATGGTTTCTAATAACTATTCAGCATGAATTGACCCTACATATGTTTTACTGCAATAATATGTCAGTTATCCAGAAAGTAAAGGAAAAAATTAAAAAAGAAACAGGAATCAATAGACCTCCTCCCTCCAAAATATTACTATAACATGACCACCTGAAGATAGCAGATAGTGAATATAAAAATGAATATTTTACTTATGTTTTAAAACAATTATAGTTTGCATTATAGTTCACATAACTTTTGCATAAAAGTTATGTGAAAAAAACAAATTATCAATGTTTTGTAAGACAATGCTGCTTGCAGTATTAAGGACAGATACAAGTTCTTAAGTTATAATGACATTCCATACCTTTATATTTGGAAAACTTTCTTAATTTAACTATGAGAACAAAAGTTGATGTCTGCAGTACAACCACTGACACATTAGCACAACACATCAGAAGTATCAAATTTTGCTCATTGATTAGATATTCTAAGATTATTCAGTGCAAAAAGAAAGATATGTTAAATGACTAGATTTGTTTTTAAAGCATAATCATATTCCTGGTGCAAATATGTTAGCGCATTGAGATTTCTGGAAGAAACTGCTGCTATATATTTGCAGGGAAGAAGCTGTATTAAGCAAGATTTTGTTGCTGTCTACCATATAAAGACTAATCTACAAATCTCATACACGGAGGATTTTGCCACACCACAATATACAGGTGCAAACTAATAACTTATCATCGTTGAAAAACAAACAAACAAAAACCGCCAAACAAAACCCCCCACAGTGTCTACACTCAAACCCAAATATTTAGGGAAAATATTTGGTACTAAATAGGATGCCTTTAAAGATATTATCAAGACTTATTAGAGTTTATTCCAAAGTCATCTAGAAAAAAATGGAAATGTGTGATTAATCTTACAATGAAGCTAGTACATTCACCATGACAGACATCCCATTGGAAAATATAGATGTAAGGGATATATGAAGAATGTCTTTGTGGAGGGAAGTGTTGTTTCAGAGTAAGCCACTAAGAAAAACAAATTGAGAGTAAGAGTATCTGAAAGAACTATAGGGAAATACTTTTCTTGTTCAGAGTGATATTTGACTACACTGATATTTGATCAAATTAAACATTAGAGTCATAGAATGATAGAATGGTTTGGGTTGGAAGGAACCTTAAAAATCATTTATTTCCAAACCCTCTGTCATGGACAAGAACACTTTCCACTAGAGCAAGTTGCTCAAAGCCCCATCCACCCTGGCCTTGAACACTTTGTGGGTGTTTTCCAGTTAAAATGAAGAAAAATAATAATTAAAAAAATTGAATAAAAAAGTCAGTTTGCTTTTACATAAGTATTAGTAAAAATTGGCTTCTGATTTTGAGTAATGATATATATAGGAAAGCAACTTCTCAGGAATTGAGGATAAACACACTTCTTGAATGTTCTTGTCATTGTACTAGTGCAAATATATAGCAGAGCACCAATAAAAATCGTTACTTTGACACTTCTCCAGAACTGATTTTCTGTTGCTGATGTAATTCACTTATTAGCAAAAACCTGAGAAGAAGATGTATCTTTTCATAGGTAGTGTATATAATCAATATGGTTTTTTCTTTTGTCATAATTCTTAAATACTTTCTTTATGTGAGAATGGTAGGAATATTTTAGTAGTTGGACTAGTTACTCATTTAACAAAATGAAGAGTTATCAAAAAGGAAATTAGATTGTCTCTGTAATCCTTAAATTAGTATTGTGAGGAGCATTTCCATTCTTCATACACATACCACTGCTGAAAGGCACAGAGGACTGTCCAAAGTTCTAAACATTGCCATCACTAATTCCTACCTCAAACTTGGTATATGTATTGTAACGCTGATTATAAGCTCCTATAGAATAGGAGCTTCATAACCATTTTCTTCATAAACAAGATTTTAAAAAGCAAAAAATATTATTATATAGCATTGCTAATGAAACTAGATCCTGTTGGTATTGCATTGCTATTTTGCTATATTTTACTATGTTTATTTTATTGTATTCAAATTGAGAGGGAAAAAAGCAATAATATATGCCAGCTCATTTGCAATTTTCTTTTGCTTCCAGACTACATCATTGAGATGCATGATAATATCATCCATACTATGTCCAGAAGAGGTAAACTATTGAGTGGAAAATCTTTTTTGCAGATATTACCAAGAACTATTAAATTCTGAGAATGTGGAAAACAGATATTCTTACATCCAAAGAAATAAAAGGTCCAGTTGATAAACTTACACAGGTATATTTCTCTGTAGAGAGGCTGGAAGAGAGTATGCCCTAATTCTTCATGCAGAAAAAAAACCTTCATATTCCTGATATAATACAGTCCCTTTAAGAAAACATTTCAATACTCATAGCATTGCCTCTGCTGTCATATCAACAGAACATAATTTACACTCACTTGGTAAAGAAAGATAGGCAATAATTTCTTTTGGGTTTTATGTTTTGAATCTTAGGTTATGCCTAAGAATATATGACGTAAAAAGATTTTTGTTCTGAAATATAGAAGAGCTCTATAGTTAATAAGAACATCTTGGAAGGGATTTTCTTATTTATGTATGTCAGGACCAAACTGAATCCAGCGAATTTTGCAATGCAAAATTAACTGCAGTATTATGAAAAAATGAGCAATGGATGAAGTTACAGGCATAAGACATACAATGGACGCTAAGAGTAAAGTACTAGCGAATAATCTAAATTTTACATTTAAGGTATTTATTTGAACACTTCTACACTGTCCGTCCAGAAAATGGACTAAAATGCCAATATATCAGAACCTAGTTCTTGCATATAATCTGAGTTAATAAAGATTCTTACCTGAAATTCCTGACATGAAGGTAAGGTCTGATCATGACTTAAATGAATATTCATTTCCTAAAATGTAGACATTGAAGGCAATCAAGGAATAACCTAAAATACCTGAACAATATTTTTAATTGATTACAATGGTACTGATAAGCTTCTATTTTGAGAGCTATGTATAAACACAAGGAAAAGAAATAGGAATTATTTTTTCTGTCATTGCCACAGTGAAGTTCTAAAATATCACTTGACTCCGATTTCACAGCACTATTAAATTAAAAAAATAAAATCTTTTAAGTTGTATCTAGTGAGTCAATAAAACACTACATCTGGTCACTATATCTCCATCATACAAGTCCATTGTCATAGATTTTACCTTTTTTGATTTTCACTTGACTGTTTTCTGAATTAAAGGCTTATGGAGTCTGACCATAAATGTCATAAAACTCACAATTAGCAGAAAAAGTGTTTTATGGAGAATTTTATGTAACAGTAAAGAAAATTTTAATTACTGCATAATGTATTTATATACAAAAATAAACACGTTTCAGATGCAAAAGTGCAATTTATGTATAGTGTATTTTGAGAACCGGGGGGCCCCTGGTGGTCTAGTGGTTAGGGTGCAGGACTCTCACCGCTGCGACCCGGGTTCGATTCCCGGCCCCCCGGGCAGATGGAGCTCGTCAGCCCTGTAAGGCCATCCATCTAAGAGAAGGTCACTCTAAACAAACCTACGTTCTGGGGACCTCACTGCCACTGTCCAAGCTTGCTTGGCCCCGGCAGATGAACCTCAGGATTAAAGGGTGGGCTCAGTTCAGCGCACGCTGTGTCTCACCTAAAAAATCCACTGCGCAGGCTCGAAGGGTTAATGACCTTTCCCAAATCTTCGCTTGCGAAGACTGGCCATTATATTATATTTTGAGAACCTTACATGAACTGCTCTGTAAAAATAATAAAATACCCCACCACGGCAAGGAAGCAAAAAATGAAAATATGAAAGTGTGAAATATCCAAGAAGAAAAGGAGAATTATGGTGATAGGTATTAGTGCAAGTATTCTAGTGTTATTAAGTAGTTGCATCCATTGAATTTTAGAGATGAGATCAATTAATTGAATGAGCAATATTAACACTTACCAGCTGATGGTCTCTAGCAGCAGCTTCCAAACTGATACTATTGTAGAGTTCTGTGAGATTTTTACTGTTTAAGTAGTATTCATGAAAGATTTTATATTCCTGAACTAACCACAGATTTTCTTTAATGATTTGATCCAGAGAAGCCTAAACAGATAAGTAAATGATTACACTTACTGCCAAACACCCTTCTAAAAAATGAAATTATTGGCTGCTTCTACAATTTCCCTGACTCATAAACATCTCCAAAAAATAGATGACAAGATTATGGTTCCAGTGAAACAAATGGAAAAACTGTAAATGAGTTTTGGGTGGCTAGAATTTTGTTGAATGAATTTATAGTAAAGTACAGGTTGTTAATAAATGACTTGTACAAAAAAACAATTATGTAAATATTTACAGTAGAGACTATTAAATAGAACACATCATCTAACTTACTACAGAAGACTGTTCTGCATAGAAATTATATTGTCTTAATTGCCAGAGAATACGTCAAATTCAGTCATATTTTTCCTAACTCTCATTTTACAATTTGTTTGTAAATCTCCCACAACGCAATACTCATGTGCTCTTTTAATAATTTAAATGTTTCTAATTGGATTAACTTGATTTAAAGACTAATAAAATGTTTGACTCATAATCTGATACCAGGTGAAGCTAAATTTGTTTTGAATGTATGCTTCTATAGTAAGAAAAATTTCCATTCCTTTAAGTCTGATTTTGATTGAACTTTCTCTGATTGTATGATATTGCAACCATCAAAGAATTTTCTAAGGAATGTGATCTAGGTTACAAGGGCATAATCTGATTTAATTATATTTTTAAATTGATTTTTGGCACAGAATTCTATTCTAATTTTCATCATTTTTCCATTAAAAAACACTTAGGAGAAAGGGAGCCCAGTAGACTTTTACCCATAAGTTAGTTGAATATTGTCATTTCAATATTTGACCTTCAGGGGCCCCCTGGTGGTCTAGTGGTTAGGATGCAGCGCTCTCACCGCTGCGGCCGGCCTGGGTTCGATTCCCGGTCAGGGAACTCCTCCGGGCAGATGGAGCTCGTCAGCCCTGTGAGGCCATCCATCTAAGAGAAGGTCACTCTAAACAAACCTACGGCCTGAGGACCTCACTGCCACTGTCCAAGCTCGCTCGGCCCCAGCAGATGAACCTCAGGATTAAAGGGTGGGCTCAGTTCAGCGCACGCTGTGTCTCACCTAAAAAATCCACTGTGCAGGCTCGAAGGGTAAAGACCTTTCCCAAATTTTCGTTCGCGAAGACTGGCCAGGATGATTTGACCTTCAGAGCTTCCTTTAATTTCATCACTATGAAACAACAGGATGGCTGATTTCAATATTTCAGAATCTTTCTTCAAATATATTTTAAATGTACAGCTTTAAAATGCATGTTTAAAACATCATGGCTAGTGATGAGTGCTATCCAGTAGAGAGAAGCACAAAACCCCACCATCAAGCGAGCCTGAAACTTATTCAATTTGTGTCTATTGTTGCCAGGTGTATTTGGGAGTTATTTCTGTTAAAAGCACCTGCACATTATAAGGTGGAGTGAAGGAGAGTCTTCTAATTAGGAAGTCTTCTAATGCAAAAGTCAGAGTCTAAAAGCTTTTAAAGGTAGAGGAGTCTGCTTAAGAGTCTCTTTTATACAAGAGAGCTCTCTGTAATCCCACTTGCAGAACCATGTGTACCCTTGCAGAAAAGCAGAGCTAGCAGAACCGCTAGAGCAGTTGGAGCAAATGTCACCATCGTCTGCTCTCTGGATGGAGCCTGTCGGCCCAGCAGGAATAAGGGCAGCCCTCTGGCTTGACAATCTGAAACAGTGAGTGCAATGCTACCACAGGCAGTGGGGGGCAACCACCTGTCCCAGTAGTTGTCTCACCAAAATCCAGAGAAAGGAATTGTAAATAATTTCAGGTTTATTTTTGAAAGAAAAATATTACATGTTATCTGTTTACCTATCTGCTGCTCTTCTCCCCTTAAAGAGGAAACAGTTTAAGTGAAAAGATGCATGTCTGAGGCAGAAAAAAATATATTTTGAGCATGAAGGAGTTTAGATTAATTTTCCCACATTCAAATTACTATTTTTATTAAAATCCTAAAAAAGACCCTGTTGCTGCTAGTTAAGCTGTCTTTGGAAAGGAAACTTAAATACATATTGGGAAGATTTCTGTAACAATAAACATTTCAGCCTTATACTATAGCTACAAGTTTTCCCAGAACCTAGGAGGTCTAGGGAAATTTGTAAAATTCAGACTATGCTTTAGTATCTCCCATGTCTCTGAAAGAAATTTTGTGAATTAGTGGACTAATAAAGTCTGAGTTCTTCTGGAGTCCCAGAGTATAATACTAAAGAATCATGTATTTTCAGAACCTGTTCCCAAGTGCATAATTTAGTGTTTCACCTTTTAAAGACAAAACTATCCAAGGGAAATAGTAGCATGCCTGAAAAAGTCCCTGGCCTTCCCTTGGAACTAAATGAATTTTGGGAGTTCCTAAGACAGAATATTAACAACGATTTTACAACTTTTACTATGTTTTAATCAAAGGGATATTAACTTTTGTTTCTGTATTTATCTAGAATTTCTAAGAACTTTCTCTAGAAGCTAGTCATGGTTATGCAACTAAATCTTAAAATTCTTCCTGTACAGAACTGTCTATCTCTACATCATTAAAATATTATAACACTATGTGTCTATCAGAAATCTCAAAATAATAAAACAAAAGATTTAGGGAGTAAGATGTGATTATCTTCTTGATTAATATTTGGGCAGCAGTAAAACCTCTTTTTTAGGTTTCCTTAGAAAATGCAGACTGCTTGATGTTAATATGTTTACATGTAATACCTGCAAACGTAATATTTTCAGCTTCACAGTACTTTCACATATATAAGGAATATGGGAAAATGACAGAAAATTTTCTTGTAGACTATGAACATCAATGCAGTATTTTTCACCAATACCTTACTACAAACCAGTGAAGTACTACTGTTTTGTATGATTTAAAATAGTCCAGACATTTTGAGAATGAATGACAACATACCAAAGAAGATAATAACCTTCTCCAAATATACTTGTTATACTTGTTGTCCAGTCCCCAAAATTGCTTCATTCCATAGCTTATGTCAGCTGAGAAAGATAAAGTGAAATGGTTCTTTTTCTCTCACTCCTCTGAAAGACGAGCTGAAGTTCAGAAAGTAAAAAGCACACATCCTTTAAATACTTGACTGTCACTCACTGACATTTCTACAGAGGATTTCCCAGAATATAGGCAGAAAAAAAAAGTCTTTAAGAGTATTCTTTCTTTACAAAAGAAATGAACTGGTCAAACTGTGATCAAACTTGGCATGCGAGAATAAACACCACACCTCTTTCTGCTATTGTAGGAACACAGGGATGTGAATGTCAAAACTGGTCGTAAGATATTCAGGTAGATGACTCTGACATTTGTTTTTTGTTTTATCTCTGACACTAAAACTTCTGAATTTATAGACTTGTGAACTAATAAAAAGCACCACAATTCATGTGTTCTTTTGCTCCTTAGCAAAACTTGATCAGACTTCTGGTACATAAGACTTTGTCTACTGATACATTTGACCTCTTCAAACATTCTGGAAATTAAATTCAAAATATAAGAAGAAATTTTCAACATTTCTATTTTCAAATGAAGTTACCTTTTTTTCGGTAGAAGACACCCTGTAATTCAGGGGAATTTCTTGATGGCTCTTCACTGAAATGAAACTTCAGTCACAGCTTAGAGAAATGAAGTGAAACTATCAGAGGCCATGTTAAAAACAAATGAAAGATATTTCTTTGCACTATGTGTAGTTAAGGTGTAGTTAAGTTAAGATTCTTCTGAATATCAAAAACTTACAGAGATTTAAAAGGGACATACAATTTCTAGGAGAAAATCCAATCACTTTATGTTGCAAGTGATCCAAGAATTTTTTTACGGTTCTACGTAAAGAATTGTAGAGACAAATCTTAAGATCAATGATTTTGTCAACATAATGATATACCTATAAACATGATATAAATCCTTGTGGTTTACAGGGTCAATTGTCATTTCGAATGGTCACTCTGACAGCAGTGTTTTATTTGAAAGATAAGAACGATTGATTTTGACAATCAGGTGCATCAGCACAACAAATTAATTATTAAAGGATCTATATTAATTGGCTATAGTACTTAAACTTGATGTTGTGAGGAATGAAAATGGTTTCCCGAGGCAAGAATGAGGGTTTCTTTTGTAGGTGTAAAATATCCTGTTCATAATATGAACACCAAAATAAGAAATAACTTATCTTAAATTTACTGCGTTAATGTGCATCTGCCCCTCAAACTCCACAGACCTTTCCCGGAGTAGCTTAGCAAAGTTTTTCCAGTAGCGTCTGTTACACATCAGATGCGTTCCTTCCCAGGGCATAAGAAACATGGTGATAGCAAGTGCCACGAGATCATTGTATTAGAGTTGACAAGTCTCCCAGCTTCGGCAAAGAAAGTTCTTGTAAAGCAAGCCTGAGGTGCTGGGTTTTTTTCCCTGTCTGAGGATTGATTGATGCAACTAATACTTATCAGAAAATAGTTTGGGCTCTACAAGTCACAGAAGATACAACAGAATTTGAGCTGATATAATCAGTGATTCACTCTCCCTACTTCTGATCTTCTGTTGATGCTGCAACCAGCATTTGATATTTGGTAATTTATGCACCAAGGATCATGTAGCTACTCAGTAAATCTCTACAGCTGCAACCCTTTTAAGGTACAGAGTGCAAACAGCTGAGCCCTGCTTGAACAAGCTCTAACACGAGTCAGAGGATTTATGTTGTTGATATTACATACTGATCTAATACAGATTTTGACGGTCTCTGAGCTGAAACAGGTCTTCCCCTGTATCCTCAGCCAAAGCAAAAAAACTCCACATAGTCCAGAGTTGCTGAAACTAACTCTTCATCTGAAAGACAATATCTTTTTACATCTGTGGCATGAATTTTTTTTTTATGTTTGGGCAGAATTTTAGAAAATGCATGTTTAATTATAGACTCAGACTGACAGAGAGAAGTGAGAGATCATATTTTTTAATAATTTGCTGAAGACCATTTTTAACAAATTAATTATTCTTCCAATAGAATATGATG